ACTTGGGATTTTTTTTTATGAGAGACTTACCTTGGTTGTATGTGTTGCTTGACTATGAGTCTAGCTTTAGTCCGAGTTATCTTCTGATAGGTAGTAACTTTAGATGTTCCCCATGTGTTGGAGTCATACGAGTTAGCTCAATTTTTGCACTTCTAAGTTAAACCACCAGTACCTCCGAGCCTGATTTTGTCGACCCTAAATTTCACTGCGCTCCGAGTTTTGTCGAGTCTGGGTACCACTCCGTTTTCTTTCTAGTACTCTCACGGAAAGAACAAAAAAAAAACAAAAAAGAAGACGAAAAGTTGCAGTCGTGAACCTAAAAAAAGAATAATAAAAAAAAAGGAAACAAAGCTTTGGTCGTGATTGCAGTTGTATACATTCTTGGAAGTGGTAGTGGGAGTGTGCACTCAATGAGGGCATCTCAGCCCCGTGGCCAGGTTGTCAGATTCCAAAAAGATAATAAAAGGGGAAAAAAATGGGCACATGGATCCGACCGTGAAAATGGTTGGATACATTCCCCTGAGTGGCAGTGTGATGAGCCTTACAATCCTCTGACAAAACACAGCTTGAGCAGATCACGGACAACTTGAGCAATTCATAGACACGGGACTCATAAGAAACACACGACCAACAAAAAAAAGAAAACAGTAACATTCAGAATGTGACCGCCTTACCTGTAAGGTGCATTCTGGAGAGGAAGGTTGTTAGCACAGCCTCCTGGACTACCCAGCCCGACATCATTGCGGTAGAGAAAACATTTTTTTTCCCTTTTTTTCATCACTATAAAATTCAGATTTATGGGCCATTGCCGACCTGTGTCCCACCCCGAAAAGTTCGGGTACTGGCCAAGATATCAATTTCTTAACACTAGCGGAGGTACTGGTGGTTTAAGTCTGTTTTTTCGTATTTGGCTTTGTATAAATTTTGGAAAGACACTTTCGCTAGGGGAAGTGTTGCCCAAAAACAAGAAGTTAGTCAAATTTTGCCTTCACAAAGTTCCAACTTTTGTCTGACTTTCATATCTGACTCGATAAAAATATAAAAAACCTACTTTTCTAAGGGAGGTGTTGCCCAAATATTTACTAAATTAGAGAGTTAGACAAAATTTGGCTTTGTGAAGTCAGATTTTTTTTTTTTAATTTATATTTAGCCTTGTATAAATTTTGGAAAGACATTTTCGCTAGGGGAAGTGCTGCCAAAATTTTTACAAATCTAAGAAGTTAGCTAGGTTACCTAATCGAACATTCGGGACCCCCCTGACCGTCAGGGGTTATCCGCTCGGACAACCGGTCGGACATCCTCCCTTGGCAGACTGTCCGAGCCCGAACAGCAAAAAAAAAAAAAAATCCTCCAAAAAATCTAAAAAAAAACTATGTTATGCAAAAACATAAACTGAACCAACTTTTTCCTTGGGATGATATCGAAATTCGTTGTCAATTTTTAAATAAAAAAACAAATTAAAGACACCCCCAATTTTTTTATTTTTTTTCGTGCATTTAATTGCTAAAAATGGAGTTGTCCGGGACCCCCCTGACTGTCTGCCCAGGACGTCTGGCCAGGACGTCCTACCATTGGACAACTAGTAACATAGAAAGTTAGTTAATTTTTTTTTTGGTAGAGTTCAAGTTTTGTCTTTGGATTCATATTTGACTTGGTATGAATCTAGGAAGCCTCCTTTAAAGGAGATGCTGCCCAAATTTTTACTGATTCAGAGACACAATTTGACTCTGTAAAGTCAAAGATTGTTTTCATATTTCATATTCAGTTGAGTATAAATTATGAAAGGGCACTTCCTCTATAGGGAGTGCTGTCAAAATTTTCTTAGTTTCAAGGAGTTAAATTATATTTTGATAGGAAAAATTATATTTTGATAGGAAAAATTATATTTTGATAGGAAAAAATTGACAATCCACCCTGTATAGGGAAGATGCTGCCAAAATTTTCCTTGTTCTTCTAACACTCATTTAGAGGTAAATTTAGACTCAGCCTTAAGAGAAATTAAGTGAGGTGTGACATGGCAGTTTATTGTCCATACACAAAGTTTAGTTTGGGGAATTGGCTTGTGTTGTGTTACAGATCCTCTTTGGTCATTTCAATTCAAGATGTGGTTTAGTTTTGGGAATTAGCTTGTGTTGTGTTACACATCCTCTTTGGTCATTTCAATTCAAGATGTGACTAGTTTCAGCCCGATCCTGCGAGGATCACCTTCTGTTATCTTTTAGTAGCCAGTTGGTTGTCGATTCGTCGGTTTCCGACTCAACTCTAACACATTCTCGCTTTTCAACATAAAGCCTTAGCCCCTACGGGTTGAATTGTTTCTTTTGGTTTTTACCCGAACTTTTATTAAATGGCCATTCAAAAAGGACTCGGTGTTTTCTTTTGGAAGGTTGGACAAAGGTTGGGTTTGTGTGAATAAGGCAAGGGATGTGAGTGTGAAGAGTGGTTGAAGTTGACCCCATGTAGTGCGTGGTCTGTCAATGTTGAACCTTGGGTGTGATTGCAGGTATGTTTCGTGAGTTGAAGTCCAGATTGACTTTGCCTGCGATCATGTGCATATTTTGAAGGAAGACACACTGTGATTGTGAGAGTGATCGCCTCGTATTCTAAAAACCATACTATTTATACTTTGTGTATCTGCACGGTCTATTTTGATCGTACGTAAGGATTGGGCAGATTTGTGCTGGAAGAAAAGGGAAATTTCCTTTTACTGAGCTTTTTATAATTTTTATAGTTGGACGTTAAGGTCCGTCGCGGATATCAAAGTCAAACCCCTTGACCTGTTTCCAGGCCTCCGATGATGGAGCCCCATTCCCAGGGTCAGGAGCGTTTGGTTGCCACAAAGGGTTAAAGCCTGCCTACCACTCACCGGCGCAGGGTGCAGAAGAGGGTAGGTCTCCCAATCGCACTCACGATTGTCTAACATCGAGAGATTAACCTCTCGAGACGCGTGTCAATTGACACTTGAGTGTCGAAAGCAACCCTCAGAGCCATTGAGGGCTGCATGACTATGGGTACCACATAGTACACCATACTTATAACTGCTTGCGTAACCATGCATAGCCAATTGAGATGATAAGACCTACGTCGCTGCGACATTTATTCAGAGTCTCGCTCACTACGGTCATCTTTCGTCTGTTGTCAAAAGGTAGACCTACGTCGCTGCGACATGTATTCAGAGTCTCGCGCATGACGTTCATCTTTCGTCTGTTATCAAATGGTTATGGGTTGGATACAAAAAAGGGACTAGGCGCGACTTATGTGTGAAACTTGGTTTTATTTTTGTGAAGTGTATCGCGTGGTTAGATGGATTGTCCTAGTCGACCGACGCAAGGTCACGCTTGGGAAATCAGCCCCCACAGCGACAGCTCGTGTACGGGTTCGATTAAGGCGTTGGACCGCGCGTACCCCCTAGGCTACAACGTACGAGAAACGCCCTAGGTTGGGCCACCTCTGCAATTGCATTCGAGTAGCTTTCGCATGTGGTTCCGTAGCTCGGCGGGGATACACATGTCCAAGGGTGGTAACAACCGCTTGGGCAGAGGTAAGTTGTGCCTCACGTGGCCCCTATCCTATCGTAGGGGTTTACGAGAGGTGCGGCTGGCGCACTTGGCCGAAGTGGTGAAAGCTCCCCTTGCGAAAAAGTCTTGCAAAATCCTGCGTGACGCAACCGGGAGGGTCCCCCTGCGGGACCAATGTGCTCGACACAGTGCCTCCGATGAGCTGATTGAAGCAACGACCAAGTAATTACGAAACCGCCCGAGGAAAAAAGAAAAAAAAAGTTACACAAGGCACAAGTCTCTACCGGTAGCACCAATGAACATGTGAATGGAATGAAAATTCCAATTCTTGATAAAGTACGAACTTCATACAAAATAGTAATAAAGACAAAATACGTGAGGGGAATAGAAGGGAAAAAGGTTCAAAAAAGTTCAAAAAAGCCATTTCATTGAAATCATCATCTAGGAAGATTTTCATGCCCAGTTGGGCCCGGGACGTGCAAAAAAAAAAAGTTTTTTTTTTCTTTTTTGGTTTTCTGTGCTCTTCGAGAGGATCCCAAAATCCGGGCTCATTTCTTTTAGTGTGGCTTTCAAGGAGGGGGGTATAAAAATACTATAAATTAGTTTTAAAGGGGGAGAGGTTTAAAGAGGGGTGCCTAAGAGTGATTCTGTTATTTTCTTTTTTTAGCTCCAATTTCGTGAGGAATTCTAATGCGACCCTCAACCAAAAGTCATTTTTGTACTGCAATTCTACACAATATTTTTTTTCCTTTTTTTTTTGCTTTTTTTTTGTGTTGGGACTGCCCGGAACCTTGCTTGGGGATCATGCCTGGCCGGGCATCCGGGGGGGTTCCCGGGCATAAGTTGGGTGCCCGGTCGCCCGGAAAAACAGCCTAGTTAAAATGGACATTTCATATTTTTTAGAGTCTTTTTCAGACTTTTTGACAGAATTGAAACCGACTTATTTGGGACCAAAAAAATCACATTTTAGCTCCTGACGGTCCGGCATTCTGAAAATGCCAAACCCCCTAGGATGAAGTCCAGATTCATCCAAGGGGGTCAGGCGTTTTCATAATGCCAGACCCTCAGGCGCAAAAAAATATGACAATTTCTGGGCCGAATAAGCCAGTTTCAATTCCATTAATAAAAGCATAAAATATTAAAATGTCCATTTTAACAAATTGGCTGTTGAAAGTTGGGAGCAGAAGGGGGAGGCACAAGATGGAGAAGTAGTGGAGGAATGAGCAGAAGGGAGGGAGAGGGGGGCAGTAGTCGGTGGGTTAAATGGACGAGGAGGAGGAGGAGAAAGAGGAGGGAGAGGTGTACGAGGAGGAGGAGGAGGAAGAGGGGTAGGAGGAGGAGAAGGAAGAGGGGTAGGAGGAGGAGGAAGAGGTGTAGGAGGCGCCATAGGAGGAGGAGGAGGTGAAGGAGGAGGAGAAGGAAGAGAGGAGGACGAGGAAGCCGGAGGGGGGAGGAGGGGGGGGGCGGTATGTGCAAACTGACCTGATAAAGAGAGCACATGATGACTCTCCCAACTGGTAGTCTGGAACAATGTCTCCAAACACCCAGCGTATATTCCGGATGTACTTGAGGACTGGATTTCCTTTCTGCAAAAATGGAAAGCATGTCCACAAGTATGGAAAGCAAGTGCAGATATAGGAAGCAGAACCACGACCAGTGAGAGGTAAGAGACAGCAATCAGCGGACAAAAAAGACAATCTCTAGAGATCACAATCACAACATACTTTTAAAATCATAAAAAATCACCACATAATCAAGATGGTGCTGGTGTGCACGTTCAGAAGGGGGAGGGGAAGGGGGAGGGGGGAGGGACGAGAGCAAGAAACGGTGGGCTGTGATACTGTTAAACCAGAGTTTCACCGCCTCGTCGGGAGGCTCAACTGTTATGTACCCGATTGAACTTCAATCCACAACGAATTCACACGTTACCATACATGCATGCAATTGCAGAGTAGACTCGAAGGGGGCAAATCCACACAAAACCGGAGAGAAGATATGCACAGCGGAAGCTCGAAACACACAGAGAATTGAACAGTATCACAGCCTTTATAACTTCGCAGAGTAGACTCGAAGGAGGTAAATCCACAACGAATTCACTCGTTCCCACCTTAACTCCGGTTGCAGTTAAGCATTAACAACTGCCCAACAACTGATGCCCTGAAAGAGGTGGGCATCAACCACTGCGAAGCAAAACAAATGCCACAGGAGTGTGCCCTCCAAACCGATGACACTCCAAGTGATAATCCACCTTAACTCCGGTTACAGTTAAGCATCAACAACCACCCAACAACTGATGCCCTGAGAGAGGTGGGCATCAACCACTGCCCTCAAGGTACCTGTGACGAAAATCAAAGCACACCATCACTCATCCACACCAGGCGAAAAACTCTACAGACTGCAGGCTCATTTACACCCCAAGCCAGTAAGTCACCCACGAAACAAATACAGGTCTATGTATATGCATATGTATATGTTGGATTATCACTTGGAGTGTCGTCGGTTTGGGAGGCACTGCAGACTGTAGAGGGCTCAGCCTCCTGATGAGTCAGTGAAAAAAATCCGACGAAACAAGTCTGCCACACCCCCCTCTTCTCCCTCCCTGCCTGCAGTTTACTGTGCAGTTCTGTTTGACGATATATATGTTATATTAGATATTGGGTTGGTTGTTCTTGTTCTTTATGAAATACAAGGTTGGCTGTTATTCTTTCTGTATGATTTCTTGGGTTGGTTGTTCTCGTTCCCCTCAGTCTAAAGACACCAAACACGTTTCAGTAGCGGCAGTGTAAGCGCCAAGGCCCACGGGTGCAATTCCGGTGCAAATGTTCAGGCTAGAAACTCATGAACCTGGCTGCTTTGCTGTCCAGGTTCATGCTCTCCAAGCATGAACATAGCACCGATGAATGGATTTGCATGGGTCAGAAGGAAGTGCAACAAACCTTTGTTTCCGCGGCAGTATATGTATATGTATATGTATATGTATATGTACATATGTATAGTGATGTACAAATTGAAAAGAAAACTGAAATGTGTGCAATAAACCTGCCGATTGTTGACGATGAGCACATTCCTTGAGACAACCGGCGGACGGGGAATGGAAGCCCTGCAGGGAGTGACATAATCAACAATTCAATTTTTGTTTTAGTAAGTTTTCCTGTTCGTCATGAAACCTTACGCATTTACGACGATTGCCTTCCATTGTCAGTACCTTTACTTACAGCAGCAGCCTACCGTCTTCACCCGAATACAACGCCCCGTCATTGAATCTGGACTGAAAGTTACGTTTCAAATGCAGCTATCATAACCAGGCGTTCTATTTGTGTGAAGACAGTAGCAAAAGGCGCTGCAATGTAATTCCATTCCTTGAAAATTGGGGAGGGAATCTAAGTATCTGATAAGCGCAGGTTATACTCGACACATTCACATTGCCCACTTTGTGGCCTTGGATACATTGTTTGTACAAGTTTGATTTTTTACAATTTGCAGACACACACACACACACACACACACACACACACACACACACACACACACACAGAGAGAGAGAGAGAGAGAGAGAGAGAGAGA